ACCCATGAATGGCAACTATGTGGATGAAAACTCGCACTAACAGCATCTTTACTGGTAGAAGCTGTCTGGTTTTTATTGCTTCTGTGCATGACATCATCCAGAGGCAAAAGGCCTCTCTGTGAGTCATACACCCTGGAAACTGTAGAAAGCATGCTTCTTCTGTGCCAGTTTCATTCATTCATTCTCCCTATAATCCTATTTGGGGGTCTCTGTCCTCCACCTGTAACAGAAAGGACCTAAGAGGCATTGTCCCTATGTAGCCAAGGCCTGAATGTCTGGTGTTCTTGCAGTATTTTTTTCAGTGGCAAGTGGACGTGCTTTGTGAGACATTCAAGTGAAGTGTGTACCTTTCCATACTCACCTTGGGCAGTCAGGGTCACCTGCAGTCAAAGAGCAGCCCCACTTGAGTGATGTTCACCAAATATTCTCTTGATAAGGAGCATATGAAGGCCATGCTACCTGCTTCTCCTGGCCACAGGTGCTGATAGGTGTCCCCTCTGTACAGGAAAGTGGGGGAAAGAAAAGCCAGGCGACCAGACTGACCCAGCAGCAGTGGCAGGGATTCAGGTAAGGGGAGGGCAGAGAGGTTTTGAACAGCTACGGGAGATAAACTTGTCTGTCAGTTTGTTGTACTGTGGTGGCTTGTGTGTTGCTGTGAGGCTTGAGGCTGTGTCACTGGTGTTTCAAATGCCAGCAGGGTTGCACATGGTGCACAGGTTTCAATGCAGCTTACAGACTGAGACAGATTAGGAAGAAAGAAGAGGCCATCCACTTCTCAAAGAATTGGCCAGGGAAAATCTTATGAATAGCAGAGAAACATTGTCTGATACATTACTGCATAACTTTATGAATAGCCTGGAAACATTGTCCAATACAGTGCAAGAGGATGAAGCCCTTAGGTCGGAAGTCTCTCAAAATACAACTGGGAAAGAGCTACATCATCAGAGTAGAACCAACCTTACTGATATGGATAAAGTAAAGCTTTTGAGACTTCCATTTGCTGATGTGGCATGACTCAAATTGAGGAGAAACAGCTGCAAATATGCATTAATAACCAGAACATGGAATGTACAAAGTATGAATCTAGGAAAATTAGAAGTTGTCAAAAATGAAATGGAATGCATAAAGATTGACATCCTAGGCATTAGTGAGCTGAAATGATCTGCTTTTGGCCATTTTGAATCAGACAACCATATGATTTACTATACTGGGAATGACAATTTGAAGAGGAATGGCATGGCATTCCTCATCACAAAGGATGTTTCAAGATCTGTCCTGAAGTACAATGCTGTCAGTGATAGGATAATATCTATATGCCTACAAGGAAGACCAGTTAATATGACTATTATTCAAATTTATGCACCAACCACCAAAGCCAAAGATGAGGAAATTGAAGATTTTTCCCAGCTCGTGCAGTCTGAAATTGTCCGAATGTGCAATCAAGATGTGTTAATTATCACTGGTGACTGGAATGCAAAAGTTAGAAACAAAGAAGAATCACCAGTAGTTGGAAAATTTGGCCTTGGTGACAGAAATGATGCCAGAAATTGCATGATAGAACTTTTCAAGACCAATGACTTATTCATTGCAAATACCTTTTTCAACAACACAAACAGTGGGTATACACGTGGAGCTCACCAGATGGAGTACACAGGAATCAGACTGACTACCTCTGTGGAAAGAGGATATGGAAAAGCTCAATATCTTTAGCCAAAACCAGGCCAGGAGCTGATTGTGGAACAGACTATCAACTGCTTATAAGCAAATTCAACTTGAAGACAATTAAAACAAATCCACTTGAGCCAAAATATGACCTTGAATATATCCCTCCTGAATTTAGAGACCATCTAAAGAATAGATTTGATGCACTGAACACCAATGACCAAAAATCAGAAGAATTGTGTGATGACATCAAGAACACCATCCATGAAGAAAGCAAGAAATCATTAAAAAGATGATAAAGAAGAAAACACCAAAATGGATGTCAGAAGAGACTCTGAAACTTGCCCTTGAGCAGAGAGTAGCTAAAGCAAATGGAAGAAACGACAACATAAAAAGCAGAACAGAAGATTTCAAATAGCAGTTTGAGAAGGCAAAGCCAATTACTATAGTGTAATGGGCAAAGACCTGGAGTTAGAAAACCAAAAGGGAAGACCACACTCAGCATTTCTCAAGCTGAAAGAACTGAATAAAAAAGTTAAGTTTCGAGTTGCAATACTGAAAGTTTCCATGGGAAAATATTGAATGAAGCAGTGCTGAGGAGCAAAGATGTCTCCTTGAGGACTAAGGTGCACCTGACACAAGCCACGATATTTTCAATTGTCTCATATGCATGTGAGAGCTGGACAATGAATAAGCAAGACTGAAGAAGAATTGATGCTTTTGAGTTGTGGTGCTGGTGAAGAATGCTGAAAGTACCATGGACTGCTAAAAGAACTAACAGATCTGTCCTGGAGGAAGTGCAGCCAGAATGCTCCATGGAAGTGAGAATGGCCAGACTTTGTGTCACCTACTTTGGTCATGTTATCAGAAGGGACCTTTCCCTAAAGAAGGATGTCATGCTCAGTAAGGTGGAGGGTCGACAAAAGAGGGGAAGGCCCTCAATGAGATGGATGCACATGATGGCTGCGGCAATGGGCTCAAGTATAGCTAGGATTGTGGAGCTGGCATGGGACCAGGCGATGTTTAGTTCTGCTGTGCATGGCATTGCTATGAATCAGAGGACAATTTGATGTCATCTAACAACAACAACAACAACAACTGTGCTCCATGCCCACCCCACCTGTGGCTCCCACTGCCCTTCTTCTTCAGTGGCACAGCCTTTGAGGAGCCCAATCCCACATTCCCTAACTACTCCCCACCCCAGCAACCTTATGAGGTGGGTAGAGATGAGTACTCAAGACTGGTTCTCAGGACCAGATGTTATGGATTAAATTGTATCCCCCGAAATATATACTGGAATCCTGATTCCTATACTGTGGATATAATCCCATTTGGAATAGGGTTTTCTTTGTTATGTTAATGAGGCCCTATCAGTGTAGGATCTGTCCTGAACCTAATCTCTTCTGAGTTAAAAAAAAGAGCAGATCAAGAAGGGACAAACAAAAGAAGACAGATCCACTTGAATATCAGCAAGGAACCAAGGAACAGAAACAGAAAGAGATAAAGATCTTTCCCCAGAGCCAATGAAGAGAAAGAAAGCCTTTCCCTAGAGTCTGTGCCCTGAACTCAGACATCTAGCCTAAAATGTGAGAAAATTCATTTCAGTTCCCTAAAGCCAACTTGTGATATTTGTTGCTGCAATACTAAGAAACTAAGCCACTTGGCATTTCTTCCTTTTGAGACTGAGCCAAAATCTGCTTATCCATAAACGCTCACCCTCCCACATAAATCATTTGTCTGGCCAGGGGCCACACTAATGACGCAACCTAAGCTTGGCTTGGTGGGGGCTGCCACATTCACTGTGACTTCTTCCTCCGGAGTCCTGTTAGATTCTGATTCCCCTTTCTGAGCTTCTGAGGGTAATTTTGGTACCAGAATGCAGAATGTAGGGCTTGACACTGGTTCTTTTGGGGTTTAAACTTGATGTACCTGGCCAGTTGTCCCAACCCATCAAAACCTAGTTAGCTTCTCCTTCTGTAACCTCAGGTCTTCAGGGCCTCCCTCCCAGCTCTTCCCTTCTACGGATGTGATCTTCATGTCATCAGTGCCATCCTCCAAGACACAGACAAGGAATGCAGATGTACAGTCATAAGGACAGCATCTAGCCAATGGAGAGGAGTAGGAGATGAGCGTTCCACTGGACACCACCAATCACCTTCAGATTTTCCTCACGTTAATGTGTGTTTGAACTCACCCAGTGGCTGGGCAGGAGAAAGACCTGGTGATGTGTTTCCATAAAGATTACAGCAAAGAAAACTGTATGGGACAGTTTTACTCTGTCATACGGGATCACTATGAGTTGAAAATAATTTGAAGTCACCTAACAACAACACTGTGTGAAAAGCAAATGCAGGTGATATTTTAACTCATTAGAAAGATAACCATGGAGAGGAGATGGAAAAACTTTATTTGGAAGAAGTATTGACATGGACATGGTTGAGAAAAAAACACTGGAAGGAGTAAAAGTAAAACTAACATTTAAAGAGGATCTTCACTAAAATATAGAACAGATCACTATTTTAAGGAAAAAGAGCCCTGGTTTGTTTTGAATAAAACACATTGCTCCTGACTCCATGAAAATGTGCCCAGTCAAGGCCCAGGCATCAGCATGTGACGTGAGGGAGGAAGGCCCTGTGGCAAGGGTAGCACCTTTATTCTCAGAATCTGAAAGGACATGAAGAGGGTGAGTGGCTCTTCTCTGAGCCATGGAGTGCCCTAGGGACTGAGGGAACCAAGGTCCAGGGTCCATTCCATTAGGGGCAAGAACCTCATAAAGGAGTTGACTCATCAAGATTTATGTTTTATAAAAATCCTCTTAATCTTGCTTTTCCAAAAATGAAACATAGCTCAACAGCTCACATGAATTAAGCAGTAAAATTTGCTATAAGTGTAAATGAAATGTTAAATGAAGAGCTCGGTAGGATCAGTGAAAAACAATTAAGCTATGAGGAGGGTGAAGGAAAAGAGGCCATGTCTAACCAACATGGTGGGGTAAGTGGGGCAGAGAAATGAACCTTCAGGACATCTGACTCCATGGAATAGAAAGGAGATTCTAGGGATGCTAAGTAAGTCATAGATGGAGTGATCCAGATTTGCAGGGGAGAGGGGCTGAGGCAGATCACAGCAGAGAGAGTAGATGTAAACACAGCAGGAAGGGGCAAGAGAAGGAGGGACAGTTTTGCAGAACACATCATAGTGTGGCTGTTCAAGCTTTTCCTTTTAAAAATTCTAGCTAATAAAGTTGATGAGGAAAATTCACATCATGTTTTTACTTCTGTTGTAGTGAAGGATGGGGAGGAACTGGGAAGGGAGCTGGTAGTAGTGCCCACAGGTGGGCATTAGCCCAGTGCCACCTTCCGGGAGACGGTCTGGTAGAAGACGCCCTGAAGCAGGGCCTGGTAGCTGGGTACACGGAATAGATGCCGCTCACCAAAGGTCACGTCGTACTCAGCTGTCTTGCCAGTGACCAGCACACGGATGTGGGGCTCATTCACCTGGGGACCCACCACCACCACGAAGATCTCGATGCCTGCCCGCTGGGCCTCCTGCACAGCCTTCTCTATGGCAGCTGCTGTGATGCCCTGTGAGTTGCCATCTGAGAATAGCAGCAGCTTCTTCTTGGCAGTGCCTGAGGAGGTCTCTTGGTAGAAGCGGGTGACATAGCGCAGGGCGTCGATGACATCAGTGGCATCATTGAGGAAGCCCATGCTGTCCACACTGTTTGCCACCACTGTGTAGTTCTGTAAGAACTGCAGTGCTGCCCGTTCTGGCCTCTGCTGTCCTGTACCACTGTACTGTACCACTGACACACGCACATCATGGGAGGGGTCCTTGTGCTTTGCTGTGAGAAAGCGCTCAGCCAGGCGCTTGGCAAAGTTCTTGGTGGTCTCAAAATTGTGGCTGCCCACGCTGGCTGAGCTGTCCAATAGGATGGTGATGTCGGCCGGGGAGGAGAATGTGACTGTGGGGGGCAAGCAGCCATTAGCAATGCCATGGAGCTGTGCCATGGCCATAGGGCTTCACAGCTGTCATGGGCCAGAGGCCACCAAGGCCTCAGAGATTCAGAGATGCCAGCCCAGCCTCATGAGGGCACATGGGCCTGGGGTGACTTGCCATATCTGACCAGGCCCCAGCCTCATTCATATTTTTCTTTATCCCTCAGACTCTCCTCCCTCAGCAGGTGTCCCCACATTATGCCCCTCTCCACCCACTTCAGTTGACCTGGGCATGTGGTACTCACTTGGGCAGGTGTAATCTGGACACTTCTTATCTGTAAGAGAAGAATACCATGTCATGTGAGCCTGTGATCTGCCTGTCACCCCTACAATGAAACAGTGCTAAGATATCCCCAGGTGAAGCACAAGTGTGGCATGTGCACAGGTGACTCTTCTGCTCAGATCAACCTGTCTCTCCATGGTGCAGTGTCTAAGGCATTTCACTGCTAACCAGAAGGCTGGAGGTTCAAACCCACCAGCCACTCCTTGGAAGGAAGACTGGGCAATCTACTTCTGCAGACATACTGCCTTGGAAAACCAAGAAGGAAACCCAAGTCAAATCGACTCAACAGCAGTGAGGTTTTTTTGGTTTCTCCATGAATACTGCATCTTGCGATGACTGTCATCCCAGCATCCGCTTACCAAGGAGGACCTCTGGAGGTCACAGAATGGTGCCCCAGGCTCTACTTCATGGTCCTCATACCATTAAATGAGTTGTGTGGAGCAAAGTCTGGCCCTTGCTGTGAATGGTGAAACGGAGGCTCAGGAGGGGAAAGATGGCCTACAGGTCACATGGTACCAATGAGTGGCTCACCTGGGGCTCAGGACAGAAGTCCAGGGCCACACCCAGTGCAATGCTGTCCCTAGAGATACTGACCACGTGTCCATTGGTAGAGGGGCCTGAGTGAGATCCCAGAAACTCTCTTTGGCAGCCGGCTATTGGGTCTGCTGTGCTGGCCCTGGGTGGCCATAGTGAGCATGCACATACATGTATCTGAGCAAGTTCAGTCTCAGGCTGACCATTACACACGTGTGTGAGTGTATCTGCCCTTGGTTTGACCATACACATATGGTCATAGACCCCAGGACCAAGGGCAGGGACCCAGAGCAGACCCACAGTTCTGAGAGCACCTTCATGCCAACCCATCCTTATGAGGTGAGAGTTCAAGGTGGCTCGAGAAGGGAAGGCCATTCCTTGGGTCAGGGTGTCTGACTCCTGTGTCCATGGGTCACAGTGCTGTTTGATAGTGAATGTACTCAGACTTACTGCTGCCCCGTGCCATTTCCCAACATAACTCTGTGGGGGCTCCTAATCCCCAAACCCAACCATCAACCCCCTGTGCCCACCTATGCAGATCTCAGCAGTTACATTCTTTAGGAAGCTGTCTTCTAACAGCTCTGCATAGTTTTCCTTGACAAGTGAGATGCTTGGCCGGCGTTGGGTTGACAGGCCTTGGCAGGAGATGACGTTCAGCTGGTCAGAGCTTGGGGATGAGCCAAACAAGTCCATGATACCCACAGAGACCACCTATGGGGAGAAGGGGTGCTCATGTCAAGACCCAGCTACATTCACAATGGGGCCCTGCCCTGCTCACACCAGAGGCAGGCCCTGATCATACTGGGAAGGGCTGTTCACACCAGGGTCAGGCCATCAGGGTCCACACTTTCCCTTCTCCCTGTCATGCACAGGGCCCCACCTGGATGTCAGGGCCACAGAGCACATTGAGGGGTGTGGTGTCCCTCTGGGTGTCTGAGCGCCCATCTGTGATGACCAGGGCGATGCGGTTGTTCGAGGAGGGTGGCATCAGCCGGTCCCGGGTGTACTGTAGGGCCTCCCCTGTGAATGTGCCCCCTGCCATCCACTGCAGCTTCTTGATGGCTCTGTGTGGTGGGGGGGTGGGTAGTCAGGGTCAGGGCCAGGGCCAGGGCTCATGAGGATGGGTGGCTCAGATGACTGGGAAGCCATGCCATGTGCACTCACTCCTTCAGTTCCTGCATGTTCCTGATGTTGGGGCTCCTCAGGTCCACGTGCTCCTGCATCTGGTTGTGGCTATACTGTACCACACCTGCGTGGGACTGCCCTGGCTCAAACTGCATGGTTACAGGGAGGGGAGTAGGGGTGGGTACTGTGGTCAGAGAGTATCCCCTCCCTGTGGGCAACCCTTTCCTGCCCAGCCCCTGCCCCTGGCACACACACATCCTTGATGACTCACATTTATGAGTCTGGGATCAGGGTTTTGAGACACCTTGTCATGCATCTCCAGTGGTCTTGGGTAACAGGGAGTATTGTGGCCCCATCAGGGGCTGAGGGAAGGACTAGGCCTGATGTCCCTGTTTTGACTGGTGCAGATCCACACAGACAGGCTCTCAGAGACAGAGGTGTCACTCTCTAGAGTCCCACTCTGCCCCAGTCTGAGGTGGGGGGCTGGCAGCAGCCAGGCCAAGAGAAGAGTCAGAAGGGGAAGCATAACCCTCGCCGATAGTCCAGGCAAGGCAGATCAGAGCCTCTAACATGCATGTCCCCCTCTAATGATGAAAAGGCCCCACATGGAAAGGCATGTATCTGGAGAGATCCCTCTGTTCCCTAGGCTTCCTTAAACGTGTCTCTCCCCAGGATCACCTGCCACCTCACTTTGTTGTACTTTGCTGTGAAGGGCAGCCCTGGGGAGGGGCGGCCTGTCCTTGCTCAGCAAAACCTGGGGGATCACACCTCCCAGAGAGCCCACCAGCTGCTCTAACACTGCTTTGTCCAGACTCTGTATCAGGGACACAGCCTTCACTACAGGCAGGAGGGAGCAAAGTGTCTGAGGGGCACCACTGTGTCCCAGCCTACCTTCATGGGTATACCTGCCCGTGTGTATGGCCCCCACTGCCAGCTGCCTTACCTTGACCAGCTCATCCCGACTTAGCCGGTCAATGACCTTGATAATGAAGTCCTTGGCGATCTCAAAATTTTGTAGGCCAATGCTCTCAGAGCTGTCCAGTACGAAGAGGACGTCAATGGGGCCACACTTGCACTCTGTGGGACAGCATGGGCAGTGGTCAGTCCTTAGCCTCTCCGGCACCCCTCCCCCTACAGTGTGGACTGATTCCCCACACTGCTTGGATCAGGCCTTGCTGCTGCCTGCCACTCCAGTGACCCAGGCTAGGAGCCTGTATGGAAGAAGGGTCAGGAACAGGTTCTGCGGCTGGTGTCTGGCCCTGGCCTGTCACTGGGTGTTACAGTTCATGGGAAAGGGATTGTGGGAATGGCCATGCACCCCAGGTATGCCTGAGCATGGGGGAGCACTCACTGGTGGAAGGGGGGAGCAGGTAGGTGGCAAGATGAGTGGATAGGCAGGTGCATGGGCAGATGGATAGGTGGGTGGAGAGATAGGAGGGTGAAGGATCAAGTGGTCAGGTGGAGGAGTGTATGGGTGGGTGGAGAGGTGGGTGAGTGGATTGGTGGGTGAGTGGGTGGGTGAATTAGTGGGTAAGGTAATGGTTGAGAGAGTGAGTGAGTGAGTGGGTTGGTGAGTTGGTGGGTGAGTGGTGGTAGGTGGGTGTCAGCTGTAATGCTGGTCACATATGTTCTGATATAAGTGGGCTGACCTCCACCACCCACTGTGGCCCTTCTACTAACAAATAAAAACACCTGAGGAATTTTCTAATGAGTTGGAAGGTAATACTTACCACAGCAAGCTAGGGAAAAAGGAAAAATGAAATTAACCACAGTCAAGGTCCCACACTGTTTTCACAGTCAGGGAGATTGAACCCCCTGGGCTAGTGTCCCATGCCTCCCTGTCCTGTTCTGGGAGGGTCTTTGCGGGTTGCTCAGGGTGGGCAGATTGGGAGGGGTGAGGGTGAGAGCAGCCTATCATTGAAGCCCATGTCTATCTACCTTAGAGTGACATGTTATTGCTCTAACCCCACTAGAGGAGAGGGACAGGGGCCTCTGAACTTCACTCCCTCAGAGTGACTGGCAGCCTCTCCCCACTGCTCTCCTCCTGATATACTTTCTAAAAAGATGGGTTCCAGGCACGTTGGTCACAGGGGGTGAAGGGAGGGTGTTCTCTTAATTAAGGCCTTTATCTAAAGAGTCAGTTATACTTACAGCACATTTTCATGATGATGTCCAAAATTTCGCACTCCTGGAGAGAGAAGAGCCACATGCATCAATGCCACAATGCTCCCTTCCTCACTAGACTTCCTCCAGGGTGGGCTAGGCCTGTTCTCACTTCCCGGATGTACACTGCCCTGCCATTATATGCTGGCTGTACCAGGGTGCGTGGCCACCACCCACTCTTCCCCTGTGGGTCTTCAATGCAGGACCAGGCTTAGCGAAAGGGATGCCCAGTACCCTGAATCCAGGCTCTGCACTGCCCCCACCTCCCACTAGAGGTGTGGCAGAGGCCAGGGCACAGGAGCTCACAGACTCCCTGCATTCCCTTCAGCCCCGCACACAGACTCAGGCATTGCCCAGGTGCAGGGGTGGATGGATGCAGGGGGTAGCTGTGTGAGCTGCAAAGCAAGGACTCAGAGTTGTAGGAACACATGGGGTGCCAAGCAGTCTGCAGAGTCACCCAGCGGGGTGACCTTCCATTTCCTGGACAGTCTACATGGGTTTCAAATGCAGGGCCCTGGGGTCCCTGGACAGTGTGGGACCCCAGGATCACTTCCAGACAACCACTTACGTCGGGTCCTGGTGGTCCCATGTGTCCTGGAGGTCCCTGTTGGAGAAGGGACCAGAGAGGGCCTGTGAAGCAACAACCCTTTCCCTGATCCCCACTACCCCAGCTCAGCAGACCCTAGCCTGGGGATGCTCCCTCTGCAGGAGCATATCACAGGGGTCCTGAGGTCCATACATTAAACAATAGCCTGTCAGGTATGAAATTGCCAATGAACATAGATCCTCATTTGGGGCAAGTGGATGCTCTGCTCAGACTGCCTTGTATCTGCTCACCATTCACTTGTGGCCTAGAATATTCCATAGGTCTTCGAATGCTGCTGACCCAGGAACTGCAGCTCCCCCCAGGTGTTATGTGTGAGCTGTGCCCAGCTTTACACCTGCCTCATTCTTACCTTTGTGGCTGTCCCACTCTTCTGCTCTGAACCTTCTGCTCCCCATGCTGCATCCTCTGCCCTCCCTGGCTCCCCTCTCAAGTGTAGTCCTCTTCCCTCCAGTCCTGCCATGTCCAAGGCCTTCCAGATTCTTCCTCACAACTGCTCCCTCTCTGACCCTTCCCCCCCAGATCTGTAGGCCTCTCCCTGCACTCCACCTTTATCAGACCCCTGGGTGCAGCCCTCCCCCCCCCTCCCCCCAGGGTGGGCCTAGCTGGGGGACTCACCTGAGGGCCTTCAGAACCCCGATATCCCTTGGCTCCTTTGATACCTCGAGGTGAAATATCATTGTTCTGGAAGAAAATAGCATCTCCTCAGGCCACACCTGGGTGCCCAGAACTTCCACCCACAAAGATCTTCAGCAGCCCTGGTCACAGGGCTGCCTCTGCCCCACCCCCACTGCTCCAGTGAACTGCAGTTTCCACCCTTTGTGCTCAGGGCAGACTCAAGGTCACGCCTCCCAATCCCTCCAAACCTCCTTGGCCCACCCCCAAGTCCAGCACTTACGTCTTCTCCTGGGTCCCCGGCATCACCTTCATCCCCTTTGAGTCCAGGGTAGCCTTTAGTGCCCTGTAGGTGATAGGGAGCCATGCAAGTCAGTCCATAGCTCAACCCTCAACTAGCAGCCCACTGACCCAGGGAGTTCAGACCTTTGGGGTCGATGGCAGCAGAGCCCACACCCCCAAGTTAAGCATTTTATTATTATTTTATTTTTATTGTGATTTGGGAAAAAGTTTACAGAGCAAATTCATTTTCCATACAAGAATTCATACACATTTTGTTTCATGACATTGGTTGCAATCCCCACAATGGAACAGCCCTCCTCCTACTTCCTTCCTGTAACTACCTTTTCCCTGTGTTTTTCCCTATGCATTGCTGTCCTGTGAGCTAACTGCCTGTGAAAATACTGCCCTTCTGATTTCCCATGGTTAACTGTTCTAAGGAGTGTACCTACCTGGTGCAAATGTTCACCTTATACGCCTATCTATTGTTTGACTGGAAGCCATGGGAGTGAGTTCAATTCCAGGCCCAAAGGGTGAATAGGGGCCATTGTCTCAGGGGTTTCATCAGTCTCTATCAGACCAGTAAGCGTGGAATGTTTTTTTTTGGTTAATGATTTTGAGTTTTGTTCCTGAAGCTAGGCATTTGACTGAACTCTCTCAGAGCAAGATAGATATGGAAGTGCTGTGCCATTTCTGGAAGATGGGGGGCTCAAGGGCTTGCTGAGATCCCTGAGGTATTAGTGAATGCCAGTGAGTTGTGTTCAGGTTTGTGCAATGTGGATCTGTCTCAGGGCTTAGCCCTTCAGTTCCCTGTCATGTGCCATGTATGTGCATGTGAGTGTATGTGAGAGTGTGCACAGTGCAGTGGGTGTGTACTCACGTTGATCCCAGGAGGGCCTCTGTTGCCTGGATACCCCTGCAGGTGGAAAGACAGGATAGTCACACCAGGTTCTGACTGGGAGGTCAGTGAAAGAATCACTGGAGTGAGGGGCTCAGAGCTGGGAGGAGACCTGTCATCAGATTTTAGGACCTGCTCTAGGTCTTGGGTTTAATCCGGCCTGTCCAAGTGCCCAGCTGGCCAAAGAGGGTGGCATGGACTTCCCAGGGTGGGCATTGCAGAGTGGATGGTTCAAAGCACTTACCGGAAATCCAGGGAAGCCCTCAGTACCGTTTCCTGGAGAGCCGTCCTCTCCCTGAGGAAAGAGCAAGTAGGGTCAATGGTCACTGTGGGAGTCCCCCAGGCCCAGGGCCACCTCCCACCTGGGACACTCTGCCCACAGGACAGACACATCAGCCCAGACAACCCTCCAAGCTTGCATCCCAGCCCCCCACATCAGGAATGTGTGCCCCAGTGGAAGTCTGCCTGCTGATATCTGGCCTCACACTGTTCTTGGGTGGATAGTCACTCACCCTCTCACCCATCAGCCCAGGGTCTCCGGGTGGGCCTGCAGGTCCTGGAACACCTCTGGTACCCTAAAGACAGAGAGGGGCTTCTCTGGAAAACTAAGTTGAATCTAGGGCAGGCTTCAGGCCCAGAGCCTCATCAAGTGGGTAAAAGATGAATTCAATAAACAAAACATCTCATACATCAACTAGGCAAAGATTAAAAGAAAGTTTTAAGGACAGTCCTCCATGCTGGTGTGGATGCAGTAAAACAGGTGTCACACGCTTTGTCAGTAAATTCCACATCAGGGGATAGGAAATGTGGACAGAGATCCACAGTGGGCTACTGGGGAATTACGTGTTGAGAGATTCAAACAGTCTGCCAGCCCAACAATAGGAATTTGGAGAAACAGATGGTATGATCATAGCTGTGGCTACTGTAAGTACATATCAATGATGTTTTTAAAAATCCTTAAAGTTTTAGGAAAATGCTTATAATGAAAAAACAAAAAATAGTATGCCAAGGGGTCAAGCCAAAAAACCAAACTCACTGCCATAGAGTCTATTCTGACTTATGGTGACCCCCATTGGGTTTCCAAGGGTATAAATCTTTATGGAAGTAGACTGCCTTATCTTCCTCCCATGGAGCAGCTTGTGGGTTTGAACTCCCAACCTTCTGGTTGTGTTGTTGTTGTTGTTGTTATGTGCCCTCAAGTCAGACTTGACTCATGGCGACCCTCCTTTGGTTTCCCAGGCAGTATCACTATGGAAGTAGGTTGCCCAGCCTTCCTTCTAAGGAGTGGCTGGTGGGTTTGAACTGCCAGCCTTCTGGTTAGCAGTCAAGTGCCTTAGGCACTATGCTACCAGTGAGCAGCCAAATAGTTTACCCACTATACCACCAGAGTTCCTTTTATGCAGAGGGGTAGGGGGGAAGAATTTGGAAAAAAGCCATAATGTTCACATTTATTATCTCTGGGTGGTAGAATCTTAAAAAATTTTAATTAATTTATTATTATTAGTTAGCTTTTCATGTTTTCCAAATTTTCTAAAATTGTCATATAAAATAAAATAGAACATTAATGAAGGTAAACATAATGAGGTAGCTTTTTCCAACCCAAAGGGCCCTCCCAGGGGCATAAACTGAAAGAATGGGAATGGAAGATGCTGTGGAGGCCAAGCACGCCCAGATGGGTGAGGAGTCAGCATCAGGAAGTGGGCACAAGGCTCATGGGTGGGCAGGAGGCAGGGATGGCTACTCACCTCAGCCCCTGGGGGTCCCTCATCACCTCGGTATCCTTTAGGTCCAACAGGACCAGCCTCACCCTGGAAAGAGATGGATATACCCTGTTGGAGCCTCTGTGCACAGAAGGGGTGGAGTTTGGTTAAGTCTCTCTCCACTGCCTGCCCAGGGTCAACTCATGTTGTTCTTTGTTCCCATTATGAGGCTGACACTTCTCAAGGAGGCCTTTATTGGCTGGCCTCCTCTATTTTTTTTAAGTACATTTTATTGAAGTATAATTTATGTACAGTGAAATATACAAAACTAAAGTGCAATGGGTCAATGCATTTTTTTTGCAGTGTTCCCTCCCCACCCCTACTAACCAACAAAAAATTTTCCTTCCTTTATAAACCTTTCTTTCCTTATAAAAGTTTCCTTCTTATAAACCTTTCCTTGACTTTTTACAATAATGAACTAATACTATATTTGTCCTTCTGTGATTGACTTATTTCACTCAGCATAATGTCTTCCAAGTTCATCCATGTTATGTGGTGTTTTGAAGATTTTACATTATTCTTTAGTATTGCATAGTATTCCATTGTGTGTATGTACCGTAGTTTGGTTATACATTCTAGCCTCCTCTATTTTTATGATGTTCCAATGAACAGAATTGTTCAGTTACTAGTCATATGTCTATGGCCTCTGCAGTCCAATTGGAAACTTCTAGTGTACTGCTACCCATGCCTTGACTTAGCAGGTTGTCTCTGCCAGCACACCCCTGAACTGGGTACTTTCACATGCAATGTGGACTTGCACACTTAACCCTGTGCTTTGTACATGTCCACGAAGTTAGTCACCAGCCCTCCCTTCTTGGGATTCACAGGGGCTCTGAGACTTTACGTTGAAACATGAGAAGGAGGACAGGAGGGAATCTGTGGGGGACAGAAAACAGAGGAGAATATGATGCACAGGGGCCTTGGCTGATGTGTACCTCCTGCTCCCAATGTTGTTGTTGTTGTTGTTATGTGCCGTTGAGTCAGACCTGACTCATAGCGACCCCTCCTTGGGTTTCCGAGGCAGTATCACTATGGAAGTAGATTGCCCCATCTTCCTTCCGAGGAGTGGCTGGTGGGTTTGAACCACCAGCCTTCTGGTTAGCAGTCAAGTGCCTTAGCCACTATGCTACCAGAGCTCCCAATAACACCTCTGAAAATGCACAGGACCACAATGGTGCAACAAAGAGGGCAGGAGCCTAAACTCTGTGATGAGTATCTATGGCGTTATCTGGCAGAGTGGCTGGATGGACGCCTCCTTGGGCCCAGCCCCATAGGCACCATCCCTTCTGGTACCAAAACAGGGAGGGAGGGGTGGCACCTATAGATGAAGCTGGGGTGGAAGGAAAGGGTGACACCTAACAGGGATTAAGCAGGGAAGAGTTCAGACAAGTAATATGAGGAGAATTGTAATACTTTCCCCCATCTTCGTGATTTCTCAACTTCTTTGTTTTGGAAACTGGGAAAAGATGCATTAGCCAAGACATTTTCTGTATGAAAACATGTGCAGAGCCTGGAGATGAACTGATAATTGTATCTAGGGTCCCTGGAGCTGTTATACATACATACATATAATTGGGTCAGAAGGGGGAATGGCTGGGCTCTGGAGGTAAAAATAGCACAAAGCCCTGGAAAGCTGCTAGCCAGTGAGGCTGCTCCAAAGCTGCCTAACCCTTCATCTCCAGGAAGAGTCAGGTGCGTAAGTGCCAATCTCACTGGGGGCAGTGAGTCAGGGGTGAATTGTCCTGGGTTGGGCCACAGGCCAGGACAAAAACAGGGATTCCTTGGAGCAGAAGCTGAGCCTCTGGGACTTGGTAGGTTCCCATGGAGGTGTGAACTCTTCACAGGGTGAGAGGACCCAGAGGAAGTAGTCCACCCTGCAGTGGCAGGCATCTCTACAGCCTGGGCAGGTGGTTGGACTCCCTCTCTTCCTCATACTCTGATAGTTTCTTTCTTTTTCACAATAAGTATTCATTACTTTGAAAATAGGGAAACATAAAACAGATGCTATTGAATGTGAAGCACACGCTCAGTCCCTGAGCACATGTACTCTTATTAGAGTACCGGATTCAGTGTTTCATGTTCCATGCTAGTGATGTCTCAAAACAATTTTCTAAACACTGCCACAGGGAACAAAGTGGAATTATTCCAGTAGTTGGGAGCAAACCTGCTCTGGAAGCCAGTGTGTGTCCCCAGAACACTGACTTATAGTGAGACAGTTCCACCTACATTCCTTCACTTGCTCTTGGGAACCAAGATCCAGCCACCATTTTTGCTTTGGTTTATGCTCCTCTGAAGATGGAACAGAACTAACTTTTGGGGGCCTGGAGTGCAACAGGGAAGTACAGATGAGTTTGACTGCCTGACAGATCTGATGTAGCAGAGCCCCAAAACTGACCTGGATAGTCTCTTCCCCCTACTTATGTGCTGTGGGATTGTGTGGGCTGCTTCTAAAGCCTGTGTCCCTACTGGCTTGGTCCCACCCCTGGATAGACCACACAGAGCCTGGCACTGAGGTTTGGGAGCACCAAGACTTTGAGAAGTAGTAAGATAAGAATTCAGCACATGGTGGTCAGGACTTGGGGTAGTCCATGCAGCATAGCCTCCACTTGCCAAGTCCTGTCCCAGATATAGATGACTATACAGTTATTTAAATTTGGCAACACAAAAGCATACTTTCTCTCCATATTTGGAAATAAAAGTGTGGCTTAAACTGTGACAACCCCTTACATATCCCCATAGGTTGAGGTCCACTCCTGCTATGAGGAACAGCTCCCTTTGTTCAGAATCTGACCTCATGCATAGTGAATTGGCAGTCCCAAACATTTGGTATAAAAATTGTTTTGAACGTAAAACTAGACCAACCTCCAAAACGGAATCTCCTGTGTTCCTGAGTGTGACTATCCAGAGGCTTTGATGCCTGAGAAGAACAGGGAAGCCCCAAAGCATCTGAGAAACAAGACTAGCTGGCCTGGGGTTATAGCACAATTTTATGAGCTGTCATCGAGTCAGCTCCAATACATGGCAACCTCATTTGCATTAGAGTAGAGCTGTGCTCCACAGAGTTTTCAATGGTTTATATTTTGAAGTTGATCACCAGGCCTTTCTTCCAAGGAGTCAGTCTCTGGGTGGTCTTGAACCACCAACCTTTTGGATAGCAGCTGAATGTGTTTAATTGTTTGAACCACCCAGAGACTCCATTAAAGCATATTATGAAGCTTCAATAGTTACAATAGTTATAATCAGGGTAGAAATAGATAGATAAAGGGCATCAAAGAGCAATTTCAAAAGAGCAATACAAAAAAGAAATTTAGAATGCTACAAGGGTGTTTTTTAACCACTGGGAGAAAGACAGTTTATACATTAAATTGTCTGAGACAACTGGCTCATCATTCAGAGAAGTCAAGCTAGATCTCATCTCACTTCTAACCAAACAACATATGTTCTTGATGAACCAAACCCTGAAGCATTAAAATACAATAGAAATAAGTGGATGTCTTTGCAATCTTGTAAATGAGCAGAGCATTCTAAACAAAAGCCACAGTGAAAAGGATAGATGCATTTAGTGACCTAGTAACAACTTCCTGCACTTTGAAATTACTATAGACAAAGTCAAAAAACAGATGACAAGTTTGAAAAAACGTATCAACATAGATAAGAACCTTACACACATCAACATGGAGAACATGTGGAATCCATTGGGAAAATGAACATGCTTCATAAACAGGCAGAAAGAGAAATATCGGGAGCCTGGAGATGTGATAGGGTATGGATAGAGTTGTCCAAGCCAAGACAGGACACATGTCTTCATTTGAGAAGCAAAATTGAAGTTTAATCATATCTAATGCTGGTGAAGGGTGGGATATAGTCATTGTGTTACACTAGGGACATTGCAAGTTGGGGCTACTTTTGTTGTAGAATTATTTGGCTAATATCAATACACACACATATACAGGTCTTGGCCAAGAAATTCCGATGCTATGAATTTGCCCTGTGGATATAGCCTTGGAAATATTTCAAGATAGATATATTACAGATGGATAAATGATAGATAGATAAGGACAGACAGATAGATAAATGGTAGATAGATAAATGATGGATAATGGAGAGATGATAGATAAGTGATGGATGGATGAACAGATGGGCAGATAGATGAACAGACAGACAGGCTGATAGGTAAACAGAGAGATATTTACTGCAATATTTTTTTTGTAAAGCAAATTCCTGGAGACCATCTCAATGCATATTAGTAGAGGATTGTATAAGTATGATTGATAAGTTTATACAGTGGAATACTATGGAGTTGTAAAAAAAGGAATGAGCTGGGTCATCTTCAAGATGAGTTATATGAGACAAGGACCACAATATGCTTCTGTTTGTATAAGTAATAGATATACACTCATACTCTTTCTCACAGACATAATACTTTTCCTAGAAGAATTCACAAGAAACCAAAAATTAATACTTTTGGTGGGGTGGAGGAGAAGGAAAAGGAAACCAACGGTGTCACTAGTGGGGTGCACGGGTTGCAGACCACACTGGGTGACACTGTCAGAAGGAATAGCACTAAAATGACTGTCTATAAAATTTTTTTCTGCAGTTACGGCAGAAATTTTTTACTTAAAAAAAAAATATCCCTAAAGTTAGTTATAACAATAAAAATATTTTTTGTAAGCCCAGGTTACATGTATCTCTATACCTGTTGTTATGTGCCGTTGAGTCGGACCCGACTCATAGTGACCTCTCCTTGGGTTTCTGAAGCGATATCACCACGGAAGTAGATTGCCCACACTTCCTTCCGAGGAGTGGCTGGTGGGTTTGAACTGTCAGCCTTCTGGTTAGCAGTCAAGTGCCTTAGGCACTACACTACCAGAGCTCTCTATACCTACAAGGCTAAAACTCTGCTAATTTACTTTTTGAAACTTCTAACTCATTCTGGTCAGAGATGTCATTTTTACCCAATTACAATGATGCTCCAAAGCTGCTGTTATTTTTATAGTCACTGATTTTGTCAAATTTTCTGATATTTTAGCTGCAATTCTGTGGTAAGCATTATTTGTGAACCCATAAGAGTAACTCTTGAGAAAAAAGCAGTAGTTAAAGGAAAAGAAGGGGAAACATCAAAAAAAGCTTCCGCTCAGTTACTAATGATGCTGTAATTCAACAATGTAGAAAGATTTTACAAAACAATTTTATTGTTTAAAAAAAAAACAAAAAACCTACTGCCATCAAGTTGATTCTGACTCATAGTGGCTCTATAGGACAGAGTAGAACTGTCCCATAGGGTTTCCAAGGCTGTAAATCTTTATGGAAACAGACTGCTCCATCTTTCTCCTGTGGAGCAGTTGTGGAGTTTGAACCACCAACCTTTTGGTTAGCAGCCAAATGTTTTAACCACTATGCCACCATACAGTCTAAGAAACATTTACATCTACATCTGTAGATGTATTTACAAATACATCTACAGCTGTATTTATCACATATTATTCTATGATTAAATAGATAATAAACGTTATTAAGGATTCTGTATGGTTTGGTATGGGAGGAGGTCCATGGGGGGCGGTGTGTGACACCAGGAGTTACCTCACTGGCTCTCACCAACCCTAGTGATGTCACTGACAGAGACTTTTATATTTCTTCTTATGTCTTTCTTTTGTTGGAGCGAGTCATTATTTTCAGCCATGTAAATGTATTTCTTCTATTTGAAACAAACAGAAACCTGATGGGATCACTTCTAATCATCTAGAAGTCTTTAAGTGCTCAAAGCAGCTCTAAGCCTTATTTTATTTGAGACACATTATCCCCCATTTACTGCCAAGAAGAGAGAGAACCAGAAACAGTCACGCGCTGGTCTCGTTGGCAGGCAGCCCAGGTTCCAGGGTAGCCACAGCCCCAGAGCCCATCACATGCCATCTCTGTGCACACGTGGTCCCAGGCCCAGAGAAAGCAGACACATTCCTCAGGCAGATGGCTTCAACGATTTTAACTTTAAAGTATGTGTGAGAAAAGTTTTCCGTTGAGCTCTCCTGACCATCTTGAACCATATTTATATTTATATCATAAACAGGTCCATGTCCTTCTCCACTCTCTCCTGGGAATGGACCCAAGGTGTGATTTTAATGCTCTGTCAGGAAGTTTTACAAACTGCTCTAGCTCTGCCGCAGCGTGGCTGCTGCTTCTTACTTTTATGTCTTTTCTTAAACTATCATTCCTAATTTCTCTCCATTAGAAAAGTAACCAAAAACTTGAAGACAAGGACCAAGCCTCCTGGGGGGCTGTGACCATTCTCCCTAGCCCTCAGCCAGCTTCAGTTCGGTATCCTACGCCCCAGAGCTCCCTCTTCTCACTGAGGTCATCTCCACCTTACCTCCACATGCTCCACCCAAGCAGCACACCTTACCCTGAAGGTAGGTGGTTCAAGCAGAGGAGTGTGGGAACCCTTTTGACGAGCACCTGCCTAGTCCTATGCTTAGTGTCCCAGGTTAGGAAAGAAGGGGCAGGAAGCCGCCTGGGGGCAGACAAGCATCACAAAACCAAAGCGCACACAAAGGAAGAAATTTCAGAGCGCATGATTACCTAATGCTCTTCAAATATGGGTAGAAGTAGCTGGCTCCGGGAGATGGGCACCTGGTGAGTTGCTCTGCACTCCCAGTAGTAGGGCAGGGAAGGTTTTGAGGTGCAGGGGTGCATAAGTGCTGCCCAGATGCTGTCACTGGGCCCCAGGGGGCCACCAGGTAATAGAGAGCAGGGCCCAGGGCTAGTAGGTTCTATCAATAAACACCTGCTTCTACCTGCCTCAGGAGTGGGAAATACCAGGGTTTTCCTGTATGTGTATGTGTGTGTATATATATATATATATATATATATATACACACACATACAGGAAAACCCTGGTATATATATATGTGTGTATGTGTGTGTGTGTATTTACATACATACATACATATGTATATATAGGTGTATATGTGTATATGTGTATTTGTTGTTGTTGTTGTTTGCCGTGGAGTTGGATCTGACCCATAGCAACCCCTCCTTGGGTTTCTGAGGCACTATCACTATGTAAGTAGATTGCCCCACCTTCCTTCCGAGGAGTGGCTGGTGGGTTTGAACTGCCAGCCTTCTGGTTAGCAGTCAAGTGCCTTAGGCACTATGTTACCAGAGCTCCCATATGTGTGTGTGTATATATGTGTGTGTGTGTGTGTGTGTATACGTATATAGTCCATGTACCATCCATAAAACAATCACATACTAAGTTCTCACCCAGCTGGGCAGGGTGGGTGGAGTAGGGGATCCTCGGAGCCAGGAATGCAAGTAAGGCTGCCCCAGGAGCAGAGATGGCAAGCAGGGGCCACTGAAATCTGCCCACTCAGCACCTGGTCCCAGCCCAATGCAAGCTCCATCCACTGCAAAAGTGTGTGTCCTGTGTTATGGGCGGAATTGTGTCCCCAAAAGAGATGTGTTGAAGTCCTAACCCCTGTACCTGTGAATATGACCTAGTTTGGAAACAGAGTCTTTGCAGAAGTTATCGGTTGGGTCATATTGAGCCTGGTGGTTCAAACCCACCAGGCACTCCTCGAAAGGAAGAATGGGCAATCTACTTCTGTAGTGATACTGCCTCGGAAACCAAGGAGGGGTCACTATAAGTCAGATATGACTTGATGGCAGTGATACAGGCAGATAGACATGTCCTAATTCCTAATCCCATCTGAATGGTATCCTCATAAGAGGCACAGAGAGAGATGCAGAGGGAAGACATCATGTGAAGAAGCATCTACAATCCAAGGACCCACAAGAGATGTCTGGGGCTACCAGAAGCTGGGAGAAACAAGGAAGATCCTCCCTCAGAGTGGACAGAGAACATGGCCCTGCTGATGCCCTGAATTTGGACTTCAACCTCAGGATCTGTGAGAGAATACATTTCTGTCCTATAAGCCACCTAGTTTGTGTATGTTATTATAGCAGGCAAGGGAGACTGAGACACCCCATCTTTCAATACCCCCTTGAAAGGGCCAGGCTATAGGCTTGAAGGGGGCTCACAAGACTCCTGGTATAGGGGGAGGGACATTGAGGGAGATTTATGAGGGGGAGCTGGACAAGAAGGGGGCCTGGAGGCTACCAGTAGCCCCAGTGTGAGGTGCAAGGACAGCAATGGGTCCGTGGAGACCATTCTTTACTCCAAGAAACCCCAACTCCAAGAAAGCCCACAGAGCCAGTCACATCTGTTTGTTGAGTTTCACATGTCAGATTGACAATGCACTCCAACGCTGTGTTCTCTGTGCTGTTCACTGTCATCCTCCCATCCTGCTCTCTCATCCTCTCACCTGTGCATGATGTGTTGGACCTGTGATACCTAGTCAGATGTTCTGGAGGTAACAATGAGTGTCTGTTCTTTGAGGACTGGGCAATCACTCCTTCTCTGAAGGTCAGCCCTCTTGTCCCCCTCCTTCATGTCTCCCCTGCAGTCAGGAAGGGGGACCCCAACTCCTCTAGGCCACTGTACCCTCTCAGATCACATTTTCTTCTCTTTGACCCTCACTCTCCTCTCCTCCCTGGCACTGCTCCTGGAAGGACTCAGCCACACCTGGGGATTCTAGAACCTTCCATATACTGATACTCCCAAATCAACCTGTAGCCAGGATCTCACACCTGGTTCCAAACCCAGTCAACAAGCAGCAGTAGAGTGCCCCCCCCCACACACAAGATGACACATCCCCCATGCAGAGCACCTCATGCCAGAGTGTTCCCCGTATCAGGGTCCCAGGGACCGAGCATTCTTCCACAGGGGTCTCTAATCTCCTGGCCCACCGAGGGTGGCACAGGGGCCCAGGGGTCTGCTTCTGAGCACCACTCAGGCCCTGTCCCTTCCAACAGCCTGGTGGACAGTCCCTCTGATGCCTGCTGCCACCTTGTCTCCGCCTAAGCCCAAGCCTTCAAGCTCTTGTCCACTCTCTGTACCCCACACTGCACCCCTCCAGTCACTGACCTCTCCCAGCTATGCTTTGGGTTCAGGGTTCTGGGGAGGATGGCGTCCTACTGACCTGAAGATCTGGGTCCTCTGGCCAAGCGCCAATGCCACAGGAACTACTCCCTCCCCTGACAGCTCCCAACCTGTCCCAGGCTTTCACCCATCCTCCTGTGGCTGCCCCCAGCTCTCTGTCACCTCATCCACCAGGAACCCCCAGCAGGAGGCACCCTGAGGCAGGGTGGAGAGCGACAAATTTGATGGAGATTTTCTCCCTCCAGTGCTTGTGCCAGTCAAGTTGGGGACACAGCCTTCACCACCCTGCTGTCCACCCCACAGCCAAGATCCTTACCGGGTCCCCAGGGACGCCAACAGGGCCTTCTCTTCCCTGGTCACCTTGAGGTCCAGCTTCACCCTGGGGAGAAATACCCTGTAAGTGTGATGTCCAGCTGCATGGCCAACTGTCATAGCCAGCACTTGCAGAGGGTGCACAGCCCACAAGCTGCTGCGGGGGGTAGGGCGACTGCAGGAGTGGCCTGGCCCAGCAGAGTAGGAGGGTCACTGTCTGACTTAGCACCAGGCCACTACCCCTCCTCTCAACTCTCCACATTTTGAGCTTTTTTGCAGAGGGCACACCGAGGGTAGCTTCACGCTTCACAGGTTTAATCCTTTGCTTCCTGGCCTCCCCACCTACTCACTTTCTGCGGTTTGGGAAATGTCCCAAGATTTGGAGCTCTAACCCCTGTCTGTCTCCTGGGCCTAGACTAACTTCCATCTCCTGATCTAGGGAGTATGACTGGGGAGGTCAAAGGCCACACTACCTCAGCTCTGGGGTGCCTCCCCATGGAAGTTTGGGTGAACCCCAGGGAGCAGGGAGGGATCACAAAGCCCCTACATTGCCTTGAGCCAAGTCCTCTCCCTGGGTCTTGGGCTTGGTTGGGCTCACCACCCGCCAATCAGTGATTCATTCTCCTCCTGCCTTCCGCCACCCCACCCCCCATCCCACATCGTGATCCCAGGAAGAGCATTTCCAACCAGTCTGAGGGTTCCTGATGAGAGGGACCCTGTGACCTGTCCTGGGGACTCCACAGGGCTAGGAGTTCCTGTTCTCAGGGATCCTGGTGGGACAGGGGCCTCACTGGAGTCTGCAGTGAATGCCTGAAGGTGACAGGAGGTCTGGCACTGTCACAGTAGTTGTGTGATTCAGCGTCACAGAATATTCTTTCTTCCTGACTCCCATCCACACTCCCAGGGCAGGTGTGGTGGGCATAGAGCTTTGCCTGGCTGCCCACCCTTTGGATGCAGTAAAGCTTTTTCCTGGAATCATAGGTAGGGAGAGTGAACCCTGCTCTGCTTCTTGATTGAGGGGCTGGGCTATGGGGCCGCTGGTGTGGGAGAGGCTGAGCCACTGTGATAAACCCATAGATAATAGCCTCAATTTCTGCTAGCACCTCTGCAATGAAGTTTTCTGTGGCTGAGTACCTTGCTGGCCTATTCTCCTGTGTGGAGTTTGACCCAACATCCTCACCCTTGAAATTTCAACAAAGGAAAATGATTCCAAAAAAGAATGCAGGCTCTGCTGTAGATGGAGTTGCTGGAGGCAGGGGATACAAATGTTTAGACAATTCTGTAGGAGTGGTGGTTGGGGACCAGTGGAATAAATAAGGCTGCATTTTGCATGAAATCCATCTGGCTAGATAATTGATAAACACAGAGACTTTGGAGCTTTATGAGAAAGCATGGACTTGTAAACACAGAACAGGTGGGTACGTACTCAACAATCACAACCTGGTGGGAATGCGCTTACACACAGACAAGGGATCACAAAGAAAACCCCGCTGTTATGTCTAGGTGTAATTTTTTAAAGTTAATTCTTAAAAATTAAATTAATTCTTTTAAAATTAGGTTATTGTTTTCCTCAGTATAATTTGGAAATAGGGTGCTTCCTGAGCAAACAGGGTTGGTGCTGCGCATGAAGCAGGCTCCTGGTGAGTGTCCGTAAGGGAGGTGAGATCAGTCTCATTGCTCTGTGTTGACCTTTTATCTCTGAGCTTTGCCCCCAAGACTGTCTCCCTCTTTCAAAACCAGACAGACCTCTGAGAAGGCCAGGGCTAAGGATGTTGCTCACACTCAGTAGTCTGATCTTGAGCTCCCTGAGCCAGGGGTAGGGGGATCATCTTTGTTTGGGAAAACAGAAGGTGAGCATGTGATCAGTTAGAAGCTGGGGTACGGGGGATAGAGGGAGCTCTGATGGTCTGGTTCTCTGCCCAGTGCCCACATAGATGCAGCCTGTGCTGTAGAAATGTGACTCACTGGGTCTCCTCTGGGGCCTCGCAGGCCAGGCGTCCCCTGTTGTCCTCTTTCTCCAGGGCCACCCTGTGTGGAGAGAAGTAGGATGAGCTGTGGCATGTGCTGGGGCTTCCTGGCCTGGGGACCCTGGGATAACCTTCCCCATCCCACAGGATACCCCAAGACCTCTCCATCTACTTCCACAGCCTTTGAGACTGTGTATGTCTACAAGAACCCAAACAGCCCATCTACACCACTGGTTCACAGGATAAAATCCACCTAGTGACAGTTGATTCAACTCCATAGAGTTTTCAATGGCTCATTTTTTGGAAGTAGATCACCAGGCCTTTCTTCCAAGGCACCTCTGGGTAGACTTGGAACCTCCAACATTTCAGTTAGCAGTCAAGTGTGTTAACTGTTTGCACCTCCAGGGACTCCTCATAGGATTAAAATCCTCCCAGTTATTAGGGGGGAGGTTTTTGCTGTCCAACCTCCAGCTATAAATAAACACAGCTCCAGGAAGGTATTAGGCACTTGACTGCTAACCAGAAGGCCGGTGATTCAAATTCAACAGCCACTCCTTGGAAAGAAGGTTGGGCAATCTACTTCTGTAGTAATACTGCCTGGGAAACCCAAGAAGGGGTCACTAGGAGCTAGGTCCCACTCGACGGCAGTGAGTTTGGTTTTTTGGTTAGGAAGGTATCGCTTATGCAGAGAAAAAACCCCTGTGGCTTGAAACTGTGTGTAATGTCAGCACCAGACAAATGAATGTGGCAGTTCCAGCCTCTTGCACAGCTCAATGGTGAGGACAGAGCATGCAGCAAAGTGCCACCCCCACCAGCACTTACCTTCTCCCCAGGGGGTCCGTCAGGTCCCGGGTTCCCCTGCAATGAAGATGAACAGACAAGCGTCAATTTACATGGGAGTCTGTGCATTGTCTTGGGGGTCGGGAGCAGGAGACACAGGCATTGGGGTGCTGCTTACTTCATCCCCGGCTTCTCCTTTCTCTCCTGGAAGGCCAGGCTCTCCTGGCTCGCCCTAGAGTAGGAACACAGATACGACTGTTTACCTCTCTGACCCACGGCCTGGTGCATGGCCTGGGCTCAAAATCTTGACTCCCTCATGGGGACCCTGTTTCTAGATTGTCCACTCCTTACCTGATCTCCAGGGGGCCCTGTGCTCCCCTGCCTTCCAGGCTCCCCATCTGCTCCAGGCTCACCCTGGGAGAGAGCAGAGAGAGTCAAGGTCACAACGCTCACTGCAGGGTGCAGTTGGTGGTCTCCATGGGGCTCTGAGGGCAGACATACAGCTTGCAGTGGCTGTGGGTTATTTCACCTATTCAAGGCCACATCCAAGGTTGTCCTGGGTGACTAAGGGTCCTGCATGCCCTGGGTCTCCTCACCTGAGCTCCAGACCACTCTATCCCACCAATGGCAACTTCACCTCTGGATCCCAAAGACCCCACATACCTATCTCTACACAAAAACTTGCTTGAATATTTTAGCTTTGTTAAATATTAAATTTGCTAACTATTAACCAGATGCCACTGAGTTGATCCCAACTCATGGCAACCCCATGTGTGTCAGAGTAGAGCTGTGCTCCGTAGGGTTTTCAGTGACTGATTTTTCAGAAGCAGATTGCCAGGCCTTTCTTCTGAGGCAACTCTGAATGGGTTCAAACTGCCAACCTTTGGTTATTAGTCAAGAGCTTCACCGCTTGCCAACCACCCCTTATAACTGGGTGGTGCAATCAGTTAGTGCTCTCAGCTGCTAGCCGATAGGTCAGAGGTTCAAGTCCACCCAGAGGTATTTCAGAAGAAATGTCTGGAATTTCCTTCCTTCCTTCCATGAGTTGGGGTTAGCTTGATAGCAACTGTTTTTTCTTAAGAGTAAAATCCAGTTTTTATCAGTGAGGGTATAGTTTTGTGAAAGTGATGAACCAGCAAACTCAAATCCAGGCCCATGGGGTAATCTGTGAATGTTTAGGTGAGATGTTGAAGCCATTTTGCTGGATTCCAGGAAATCCATCTCAAAGCAAGTTTGGGGAAGAGCTAATATTACTTTTCCCACATCTTTCATAACACTTTCTGTTGTAATAGGAAATCCCAGAGGAAAACAACAGCAACGAGGAACTCGGCTATGGACCAGACTCTTAAAAAGTTCTCTCTTCATGCTGAGCCTTTCTGCCTACCACAGCCACTAGCATCACATTCTTCTTAAACAGTTCTGGGACTGCACACAGAAATCCCTTGGGCAGTTGGGAAAGGATTTCTCATGGCTATCTCCCCTTCTGCTTCAGATCAATCAGAGTGATGGAGAAGAGAGAATGTTTGGGGGCTAAAACGACATCAGTAACCAAGGCCTGCAAATGGATCCATAACTCTGTTCCTGTCATGGCACCCACAGCTTCTCCCCTCTCTTCGTTCTGTAGTTTCCTGCTCCAGAGGCCATGTAGTGCAGTCAGCCTGATGGGCTGGTGCCCAGCCCTTAAACTGTTGGCATAGGGTCTGCTTCCAGGGAGAATCCCTGATTGAATACTTGGTGGGCAATAGCAGCCCTCTGCCCCTCCCAGCCCCAAGGGACATGGTCACTGACCTTTCCTCCTTTCAGTCCAAAAGCACCAGGATCTCCCTTGGGCCCAGGGGGTCCTTGGATGCCCTACAAGAAGATGGTATGACGGCACTGTCACACGAGTACAAACTGGAAAGCCCTCACAAAGCATCCCAGAGGTCACACACAAATGCAAACCAAATTTAAACATGAATCAACTAACAAGGGGAGTGTCCACACTCTGCTACCTGTGTGAGATCTCTCAGTGTTGGAAGAAGCACATGAGCCAATTATCCCTGAAAGCACATGGAAGAGCGAAGGACTTACGTCGAATCCAGGTGAGCCCTTGCAGCCTGGCAGCCCTGGGTACCCTGATTCCCCCTGGGAGAAGGAAGAAAATGGCAAGGTTGTAAAGTCACAAACTAAGTGGGATTCCACTTCAAATTCGTCATCTCTGCTCACCCATTCTTCTGTATTGTCTCTCTCAAGAAAGCCCACTAGCCCAGAAGATGCTCTGAGCTTAGGGGACTTAGGGTCCACTGGGACCTGGGGATTGGCAGGAAATGTTCACAAGAAACTTTCTCCTGACTTTCATGTCGTGTCAGAGTCATCTGCGAATGTCCATGCTCATGATCTCATGCCTGCCCACCCTAGGGCAGGGATCTGGCACTGTTCATAGCCCCTGTGCCCACACCATGCTCTCCTGCCAGCCATGGGTTACCTTCATGCCATCCACACCATCGATGCCTCGTTTGCCCTTCTCGCCCTGTGAGGCACAAAGATGAAAGAGAAGGTCAGACATAGTGGGATGCATAGTGTCTACCCAGGGGTAGTAACCAATGTCCTCAACCCACAAACTCATACCCTGATGTGCAACTTACCTTGTAGCCCTTGGGTCCCCTTGAGCCCTGTGGACACAGGAAGGACAGTGAGGCAGGCCTGGGCCCACAAGCAGACCCTCCACCTTGGGTTGGCCCAGCTTGGGGCCAGTAAAGGTGTCCTGCTCAGGGTGGGCAGATCCCAAGGGAAGGGAGCCCACTGCAGAGGAGTCAAAATGGCCCCCAAATCACAGAAGGAAAGCTGGGAAGGTGCAACTCTGGAAAGTGCCTGTGCTTGAGTGTCTTTCAGGAACCACCAGTGGCAGCCTCGACGACGTCCCAGTGCCAAGATGACTCCAAAGACAGAGCAGCATAGCCTGCCAGTGAAGCTCACCAGGTAACTGGCTGGGTCTCCACAGAGATGGGAGAGGGCAGGAATGGCAAAGAGGGATCTGCTGCCACACCCTTTCATTATGGGGACACCAGCCAATCTCTGCACCCCATGTTAGGCTCTCAGAGCAATGAGGTCACGAGTGGCAGCCTCACTGTCTGGGTGAGAAGACACCCGGCATTGTGCTGGCAGATTAGGGCAGGGTTGCCTGAACCAAGGCTGTGTTCCCAGGCCTGTCCATGTTAAGAGGTCATAGGCCCCTGAGACCAGAGGAAGGCTGTGGGTGCTGTGTCTTGCTTACCTTCTCCCCACGGCTTCCTTTTTCTCCCTAAACACCAAAATAGAGACAAGAGGAGGCTGTGAGGGCTAGCCTGGAAGCTTGGCCCCAGGAAGACATTGGGGAGGAGTGCAGGAGGGACTCACTTTCATTCCCTGGTAGCCAACAGGTCCGAGGTCCCCTGGCCTTCCCTGGAACAGAGAGGAGGGGGCACGTCAGATACTTTGTAGGGGCAGGCAGACCCTGTGCCACAGTCCACCCACCCTATTGCTCCAGCTCAGGACAGCCCATTCCTTGGGACCAGCTGGGCCTTCCCCAGGCCTCCTCCTCTTTGGGGAGAGGGTGGGAAACTCTGGTTGGCTGAGGGGCCATCCAGCAGTGGGAAAGACTGTGGGCTCTGTGATCTGGGAGAATCATCCTTCACTGAAGGAGAGGCCACCAAAGGCCTGGGAACCTGGGGGCTGCAAGTGGGTCAGGCTACAGAGATGCCCAGGAGAACTGGCATGTGGTCAAGGGCACCCCAGGAGGAGCTAGGGTGGTGCTCTGAGGGGAGATCAGCATGAGCCTGCAGCGGAAGTCCTTGTGACTTTTTTTTTCCATGGTGAAGCCCACCTGGCCACGTCCCTCACCTGAGCGCAGGCAGGACCTATCTGGAAGCCTATGGAGTTTTGGAAAGAGGGGTTTGTGCCTGCCTCCTGGGCTTCTTCCACCCATAAGTGCAGAGCAGCATCCAGAAACCAGTCATCCATAGAGAAGATTCCATTGACTGTCCCGTCTGCCCTGTTTACCACCCCCAGGTAAACCATCCCCAGTCCTGGTCGACACTCACGGGGTCTCCAGCTTCTCCTTTCTCTCCTGGGAGCCCTGGCTTCCCACGCTCTCCCTGGAACATAAAACATAGGTGGAACCGGTGAGGGAGCCCTGACTTCCTCCCACGGGAAAGCTTTTTACAGGATACTCCCTCCATCCCCAGGGTTTCCATGGCTCAGGTGCCACCCCCCACCACTCTTGGCCTGTCTTGGAGTCACAGCTCAGGGCCACATGAGCTATTCCCCTCTCCCACTGGTCAGACCCCAGCCATGCAGACCAAGCTCCCAGAAACCAGGGCTTTGATGTGCAATCTCCCAAGCTGTGAAACCAGGACCCACATTTCCACCCCATTCTACCAGCAGGCCCTGGCCCAAGACAGGGTACAGGTCCATGGTATGTGGAGAGTCCCCTTCAGAAGGGCCATGACCTCTACTATGGGCTCCACAGCTTTTCCACTTAATGGCCACCAGGAAAGGGGCTGGGTGGGTTGGACCTCTAGGCAGGCCTGGGAGCTGCCACATACCATATGGCCACAGGGACTGCCCTGGCCTCACTGCACCCAGCCATCTTGCCCAAGGTCCAGGAGCACCTTGGTGGATGTCAGGCTCCTTTACTGCCCCCTAAGGGAGCTCTGGTAGCATAGTGACTAACACACTTGTCTGCTAACCAGACGGCTGGCAGTTCAAACCCACCAGCCACTCCTCGGAAGGAAGGTTGGGCAATCCTACTTCCGTAGTGATACTGCCTCAGAAACCCAAGGAGGGGTCGCTATGAGTCGGGGCCGACTCGAGGGCACATAACAACAACAACAACAAGCACAGCCCTGGTGGCATAGTGCCTAAGGCATTTGACTGTTAATCAGAAGGCTAGCAGTTCAAAAGGAAGATTGGGCAACCTACTTCCATAGAGATACCGCCTCAGAAACCCAAAGGGTCGCTATGAGTTGGAAACGACTCAACAACGACAGTGAGTTTGGTTTTTTGGTTTTTAAGCACAGCCCAGCAGGAGGCAAGCAGCAAGTGCTGGAGTAATGCTTTAATCTTACATTGTGGACCTGAGGCTACAAGGATCTTTCTCTTACCAGCTTCAGGGGATGCAAGCACAGAGCCACTCACCTCGTATCCAGGGTCACCTCGTGGCCCAGGAGGTCCCCTGGCAGGCTGCAAGACACAAGAGGCAGTCAGTCTGAGACACAACGGGATGGCCCAAGGCCCTGAGGGTAGCCACACCCACACTCACCTGGCACTCGAAAGAGCAGCACTGTGGAAAGGGGGACAGAAGCCACAAGTCAGACATTGAGGGGCACAGACAGCACCCCCTCCCAACTGCCTCATTCCAACGACCTCTGGGAGACTGAACTATATGACCCCAGCAGTATTTAGGCCTATTCATCACCCAGTGGGAGTGATGGTGGGGAATGAGAGGTGAGGTCAGGCATGGGACAGCTGAAGGGGGCAGGCGATGCCTTGATAATGAGGGGTGAGGAGGGATTTCTTACCACTTGCTCCACGTTATTTTTCTGGAAAGTGAAATGGAAAGGTCGAATTAATTTTTACTTACAACCACAGAATTTTCTGGCATTTGCCATGGGGGATGGGCAGCACTCACAATCATGTCAATGATGGTGTCAATGGTCTGGCTGATGGCCTCCTCTGCATCCCTTGTCTGGTCCCAGTCAGCTGCCGTGAAGTTGCGCCGGTACGTGTGGTCAGTAGCAATGATGCTAAGCCGGGGCTCCTGAGCCAAGCATGATCCAAACAAGGAGCAAACGTTGTGGCTACAGCCTGGAACTGGTCCTGCCACACTGAGATAGCTCACTGGCCTAGCCTGATCTATACTCTGACCCTCTGGGGATCTTATGATCCTGATACTTGGAGCCCATGCACCAGGCCTTCAGGGGGTGGGCCTGCTCAAGGGTGTCCCCACCCTGGGGGGGCTACAAGGGCCCTTGAGATGGACCCTGAACATACACCTGGACAGGAGGCATGGAGGGCAGGAGAGTCTGCAGTCAGTGTACCTTGGCCAACTGTCATGTAGATGAGCGATACTTGTCCCCTCTGCAGACCCTGACTCTGTCCACCACCACTTCTAGCCTCAGCTTTTCGGGGATGCATGGGAGTGCAGCAGGGTCCTACCAGGTGGTCAGGCGTGATGGCCACTGAGAAGACTTTGATGCCCAGGTGCTTGGCCTCATTGACAGCATCCTCCAAGCCTCCACATGGCTCTTTGTAGCCCTCCAGGGGGTGCCCGTCTGTCACCACAATCAGGTATTTGTTCTCTTTCAGATGGGAGCCCCTGAAAGGGGTGGAACACAATCAAGCCCACCTTTGATGCCAGGCTCTTCTGTCTAAGCTGACCCTGAGGGAGTTCTCAAAGTGAAGTGCAGGGCAGAGACCCCTGGGAAGGGGTTGATGGTCAGGGGCAGCTTTGTGACATGGCTTTTCATCTGTTATACTCTGCTTCTCTTTGTTGATCATAGCTACACACTGATGGTTACAAAAAAGGTATTAAAACAGAAAATAAAGTTTTAGGGGATCTCATGTCTATACAAATGATTTGAAATACACACATACACCAGAAGGGAGACACAGGGCTTCACCGCAAAGAGGAATCCATGAAGGTGCTCCCCACCCGGGATGCCCTATGAAGTGATGATATAATGAATCAGCAAATGTCGGCTAAGCTGGTCTGGCTAATTTCATCAGTACACTGCTGAAACTGATGGTTGCTTAGGCACTATTTATTTTTGTGGGAAATGGAAAAAACAGAAAAATCCACAGGTAGCCTCCAATTCAAACCATCCCCAAACAAAAAATAGGGCCTCTTCTCAAGAAAAAAAAGGTTTCCAATAAGAGGAAAGGATGAAAACTGAAAATACAGATAGTATGTATCCTCTTCCTGGGCCACATGGAAACACTCTAAGAGTATTTTCAGGATAAATGCACATGTCTATTTACAGTGGACAGCATTTCTGTCAATGGATTCCACATGTGGCTATACTCTCAAATTCTCCTGCCACATCCCTAAATCCAGCAGCCTTGATCTCATCTCAACACACTGTCAAAGTCCCCTCTGCAAAGACAAGAAAAGAGAAGGGGACTTGGACTCAACCTGTGGATTCAGCACACCTACCCCACAGCTGAGAAGAACTCAGTGAGGCTCAGAGGAAGCTTGTCTCCTCTAGCCTCATGCTGGACACACTGGGTTTCTTACAGACTAAAAATGGGAGAGGAAAGATGGGTGTAGAGACAAACACCTGCTCCTATGACTCCTCCATCCCTGCGCCTTCCTTTCTTGCGCCTCCCCCTCTTGCACCTCCTCCTGTTGCACCCCCCTCTCATCCCTGTGCCTCCTCCAGAGCTGCCCTCCTGGTGCCTCCTCCTGCCAGCACTGGTCTCACTCTGTAGCTGCAGCCAAGGCCCGCCAAGGAGTGAACTGGTGCTGAGGGGTGGACAGAGCAACACTAGCATCCACCTTGACTTGTCTTTAGTGCTCCCTTGGTGTTATTTTGCCATTTCTGGAGTAAGCACAGGCTGGGGAGGCCACACTCCCCTCCTCCTCTCAGTGACTCAGCCATAAGAGGCAAGATTTTACCCATCAAGTCTCCCCCACCCCTTTTATTGTAGGAAAAGAATTTGAGACATTGAGAAGAAACCCCTTAGCTTGGAAAATGCACTTGAAAAATGAAGTAAATCAAAGCCATCTATTCTGACTTTGATATGATTTTGCATTGAAGTGTTTTCTTGGGGGCAGTTGAGGGGCTGGGCTGAGGCAGGTCAGGGATGCCCAACCTCTCTCTTCATGGACACAAGCACCAATATTTGGCCTTCCTCAAATATTGTCTTGATTAAGAAGCAGACACTCTCCCAGCACTGGGTGTCATCCCTACCACAGTGGGAGGCACCTAGCCATGTCCTTCTGTATGTGGGTGGACATCAGAAGGTGAGTATACCTCATGAGAATGATCTCTGTTATGGACTGAATCATGCCCCCCTCCTCCAATAAATGTAAATCCTAATCTATGGGTGTAATGCCATAGGTTAACATATTTATGGGTATAATCCCATTTGGAAATGGGGTTTTCTTTGTTATGATAATGAGAACCATGTCAGTGTAGAGTGTATTTCAAGCCAATTACTTTTGGGATATAAAAGGATTCAATTAGGCACAGAGAGAAGAAAACAGATGGGGGAAGCTAGATGCCATGCCACATGAAGACTGCTGAAAAAAGACAAGGACCTTCCACCAGGAGTGATATAGAGATAAAGCGTTCCCTTAGAGGCAGTGCCCGGAATTCAAACTTCAAGCCTCCTAACATGTGAGAAGGATTTTTTTGTTTGTTAAAATATTTTTGTTTGTTTAATACCCATTTATGATACTTCTGTTACAGCAGCACTAAGAAACTAAGACTCAACACCCACGTATCAATTTTTGGAATCTCTTCCCAATAGGAAAGATGCCCCAAAGGAAGTTCCTCCATGCTCTAAACAAGACCATGTCAGCTGGTTCTGGTGGCACATCCCCATAGGTCCACTGCCCAACCCCTATTGTCATGAGAGGGAACTGTGTGGTCAGGTTAATTGCAGGCAAACCCCCAGTGCTTGGTGACAGTCTACCTAATAGCTCACAGCCTTTCAGCCAGGATTCAGGACCCAAAGACCCATCTCTCTCCTTCCCTGGGATCCTGCCCCCTCAAAGGCCACAATCTCATTTGAGGACCACAGGACTCCCCACCACGGGGCAGTTGGATTGGACATCTAAGAATCTGCCCACTATGAGGGAACGGGAAGAAATTGGGGGCTGTGGCTGGGATGGATCTCACAGTCACAGACCAGTCCTTTCACTGGATTATATACAATGTCCATCCCAAATGTTGTTCTGGTCATAACTACCAACTAAATGCACTGACCACATCACAGCACTGACTGCTTTCCTCAGGAAATTACCTCTCCCTACTTCTTTCCTTCTGTTTCTCTCCATCTCTCTCTGTCTACATCTCTCTTCATCTATGTCTCTGTATATCTCTGTCTCAGCCTCACTCTGTCTCTGTGTGTATATCTCTATTTGTCTCCATGTATCTCTGTCTCTGTCTCACTCTGTCTCTCTCTCTTTGTCTTGCTTCTCTTTCTGTCCCTGCCTCTCTCTGCACCGCTTGGTGTGCCAATGGACAGTCACTTGGCCCTGCTCTGGCTACACTTCACCCATCCACCAAATAGGTCAAGTGAAGCCAGAGGCTATGCAACCTCCCAAAGAAAGAGGGAGGTCTATGCCTTTCATGAAAAGGCAGACAGGCTACAGGAATTGTATGAGGAGGGGCCAGGGCATGGCAGGGCCCATGATGAAGCCACATGTGGATGCTGGCCCACTCACCCAATGAGCAGTTCCTCCAGCCCCTTCTTGATGGCGCAGTCAGTGTAGGTGCCCTTGCCGAAGTACTTGACAGCATCCACGCTGCTCTTGAGTGCATCGCGGCCACTTGGCATGCGTGTCAGCCCACTGATAATCTCCACCTCATCGCTGTAGTGCAGTGCGCCTGCATTCCACACCAGGTTGCGGTCACATCGGTAGTACCTGCGAGACATGGAGAGGATTTTGGAGGGGGGCATGAACGAGAGTGGGGATGGCACCTGCACAGACTCCCAGTGCAGATGAGCACAGTGCCGGGATCATGAGCTGTTCCATTGGGCACCTCACAGATGGTCGCCATCACCACCCCATTGTTTGGATGAAGAGCCATTCACACTCTGCTCTAGAGAAGGATTGGCCAGCATGAGCTCCTGGAAAGTGGAGGCCTTGCCCTAAAAGATTACATGGGCAGTAGGAGTCCAGGGCCAGGAGGGCTGGCCTCAATCAGCTGAGCGAACTGTTATCTCCTGGGACCTAAGATGCAGCTATGGGCACCTACCCCAGCAGAGGAATGAGGGAAATCACAAAAGGAGGGGAAGAAGGGGCAGATCCAGCATGGGTATATGTGCAAGTGGTGACAGGCAGGATGAAGGAGAGTTCTAAATGGGGCCTTGATGTGGCACTATTAGGTAGGCCCTTCAGTCTCAGAGAGAAGCCCCAGGATCCCCTCTTCCTCCAGCAAGGTACTCTTCATGTAAGGGTACAAGGGCTGGGGCAGCCCAACCCTTCCCTCAAGCCTCCCAAGGGTCTGCTCTGCCCAGGACCTGAGGGTGGCCCTGGGAGTGGTCCTGCCTTGCCTACTCACTTGGTTGACTAATAGCAGCAATAGCAGACAGCTGGACTCCATTTCACAGATGGGGAAACTGAGGACCAGAGAAGCCAAGTAACAGGACAAGAGCACCTTAAGGAGGTTGCCCTCACAGAGCCACACAGCTGCTGTAGCACGTCCTGACCTCTCCCAGGCCCAACCATATCTGGGCCCCCACCATTCTCACCCCACACTACCCCTGCTTCTGGGTCAACTCATCCCACGAGGACCTCATGGATATGGGTATTTCAGGTCCACTGTGGGCTTCTGGTCCCATAAGTGTCCTAAGCAAGGCATCCCTCAGGGGTAGAAGAGAGGATTGAATGGTCCCTATGACACCTTCTGGGGGTAAGAGGCTCAGGGTCCCTTCATGGCTCTCAACAATGATAATGGACAGAGTAAGGGGTGGGAAGGCTTGCCCTAGTTGAGCCCCCATGTGAATCCCCTACAGACTGCAGTGCAGTGGGGGCTTTCACATCACAGGTGAGAGAACTACTGTACCTCTTCCCATGGCCCTAGCCCCAAGGGTAGGTGTGTCCACATACCCAGCCACACCCAGGGCCTATGACCTAGAGTTCCCTGGCCCATGCCTCCCTGCACCGCTCAGTTTGGCATATGCCTGGGACTTGGGTGGATTCATTGGATGAATGGATGAGCAAGTAAATGAATGAATAGATGAACGAATGTGCCACACCCTTAACCTCAGAACCAAGGCCTGTCCAGTTCCAGTTCTGGAGGCCTAGAGTTTCTGCCTCTCACAGAACTGAGTGAGGTTCACTAGTGCCTCCAGTCCCTCCAACACCTCTAACTGGTGGCATTTAGTGGGTAAGGAGATCTAACCCGCACTTAGGGATACCATCCAGGTGTTAAAGAGGGGTGCCCTCTGCAGCCAGCAGGCTGAACTGCATACTTCATTGGGTTGTTGCCAATGTATTGAACAGGCTCCATTTGTTGAGGGAAAGCCACCTTTTCTGGTCCTGCATCCGGTCCTGTATACCATGAGCCGCAGGCTTCGCACAGTCCCCCCTGGTCCTCACTGACTGAATGAAGACCTGAAGCCTGTTCTGTGGCCTCAGGGGCCCACACGGAACTCAGTGTCATTTTCATCCCTGTCCCTATCCCTGTAGACTTCACAACCACTTTGGACCTTGTTGTCGTTATTTGCCATCGAGTCAGACCCAACTCATAGCGACCCCTCCTTGGGTTTCTGAGGTGGTATCACTCTGGAAGTAGATTGCCCAACCTTCCTTCTGAGGAGTGGCTGGTGGGTTTGAACTGCTAGCCTTCTGGTTAGCAATCAAGTGCCTTTGGCACTACGCTACCAGAGCTCCTTAGGGAGGGAATTTGGAGCTATGTGGACAACACGCTTTCTTCTCAGATGGGGAGGCTGAGGCTGGGCTTGCTCTTCTGGGCTGTGGTGGTGTGATACCAGGCCTCAGGTGTCCTGGGCCCCTGCTCCTCTCTCTGGGAGGTTCAGCAGCAGTACAGAAAGAGAGAATGTCAAAGTGTGTGCCATTCTTACCTGTCTCTCAGGTTGTCAATGAAACGCTTGGTGAAGGCCTTCACCCTGTCCACCAAGGCTCCATAGGGCTTCAGCCTCAAAGCCACACTTTCAGAGGTGTCCAGGACAAAAAATAGGTCCACCGGGCAGTCTAGGCACAAGTGGGAAAAAGAAGGGCTTCAGGCTCATCCCCTGTGCCTTCGCCCAGGTGATTCTCAGCAGCTGCCCCTCCCATCCTCCTCCAGCCACAGTGTAGACCACATTCTCTGTGACGGTGGGCTGCCATTAACCCCCCAACTGCATAATCACATCCTTAACAGCAAAACATGCCCACCTTGAGCCAGGGGATAGGAGGGGCTGACAATGAGAGAACCCTCCTATGCCTCTAAAATTGTACCCAGCTTGGAGTTAGATGTGTGTCTAACAACCAACCCTCCAGAAGGGTAGAAATGTCCTTGTCCCTGTGGACTTGACAACTGAGACTATTTTTCCCAGGAAGTTTTCAAATCAAATTCAAAACTACCAGGGGCATGGTCTTCATAATAAAGGTGTGATCTGAACCTGTGATCATGTTTCATGATTGCCTGTCAAGCAAGGAATCAAATGGCATTAACTGAGCTACCGAAAAAACAAAAAACAAAACAAAACAAAAAAAGTACTTGGCCATCACAGTAAACTTTGGGACAGAAGATGAATCTATGTTCATGCAAAACAGAAAAAACTGAGACCAGAATGATGTCATCAGCTCCTTCTCACTGGTGGGTTCCCCCAACCTGCCCAGCCTAATGTCCCTTCAATAGCAGAGATACTGTTGAGCCCAGAGGCCTTCCTGAGGATGAAGAAGACACCTACAGCACCCTGCTCCCCCAACAAGACCCTCTCATCTGCAGCTCTCATGAAAAGGGAGGGGATAGGGTCCTGCTCACCTGCCCAGGCAATGGCCAGGCTGTTTTTGGTCCCAGAGCCCATCTCCCTGATGGCAGGGAGACAAAGATGGGGCAAGCCCACTCACCTTGGAATGCAATGGCCTTCGAGTTGGCTGGGACGTCCTGGGCGGTGGCCCAGCAGGCCTGCAGAAGCAGGGGGAGCAGAGCGCGGGCCAGCTTCATGTCGCTGGCCGCGGGTTCCCTCTGTTAGAGAGGTAGAGTCTCCGGACCAGAGAGAGGAGAGGGAGAGGAGAGGGAGAGGCAAGGGGCAGTCTTCTGCTCTCCTGCTGCCGGCTGGAGTTACAACCCAGGAAGGGAGGGAAGGAGGGAGGGGCAAGGGAGGAGGAGGGGGCAGGGGTAGGGAGGGGCTGGGCCTGGCTGGGGCAAACCCAGAAGAGGGCTGGGGGTGCGGCTCCAACTCTGGAGTGAGTCACAGGAGCCCGAGTTTGGGGCACTTTCCCTCTAGAACCAACCTGAAAGGGAAAGTCACTATTCCCTGGAACAGTTTTGACCTAGCATCTTACTCAGCTAGGGAAGAATTCTATTTTTTCACATGTTCATGGAGCCCTGGTGATGCTGTGGTTAAAGTGCTCAATTCCTAACTCAAAGTCAGCAGCTCAAACCCACCAGCTGCTTTCTCATAGGAGAAAGATGTGGCAGTCAGCTTCCATAAAGAGTTACAGCCTTGGAACCCTAAGGGGCATTTCTACTCTGTCCTATAGGATTGATATGAGTTGGAATCGACTTCAGGGCAGTGAGTTTTCACAAGTTCATGGGTATTTTATTTACTTACGGTGGATCTTTGTTCTTTCCATAGAACAAAACTGCAGCAAAGTTGGAAATGTCTGAAAAGGAACGTTTAATCCAAGACAAATTTCCTTGAAACATTTTTTGGTGGTTGCCAATCCCAATGTCTTCGTGTGGTATTGATCTCCATGTTCACTCCAATCATCAAGCTAACTGCTTTCCACAAATGATGTTTGTATTTGTCTAAATGTTTCAAACCCATTGCTTTGTTGGATTTCTAAGTTATTTTCTATGCAAATATTTCTTAAAGGTTTAGTTTCAGAAGATAATTACTTTTTTATTATGTGAAACAGCACTAACAAAAAATGTATATATAGAGGATCTCTGATTCTAACAATAGAATAATAATTCTATTATTATTAATAATAATTAATTCTAATAATTCCTTCATTGCGGAAGTGGGGTATCCAGATGTGGTCAGATCCACTTCCATCCCAGAGAAGGTTCCAGAAGACCTTGCCCAGAACTGGAGTTGTTGACACTGGCCTAATGTCAGTTTAAATGTTTTATCATTTGAAAACATGCAAAAGCTATATAAGCATAAAGAAAGTTTTGAGAAAAGATTTTAAAATCATACTTTATCCCACCACCCAATAATTAATATTCTAGAATTTCATCTTCATCTGGTATTTTTCCCACATCTACTTAATGGAATTAAAAACTTATTGTGCTCATGATTTTGTTAAAAATTTCAAGGGTTGGCTCAAGATGACAAACTAAAGTTTTATAATGAAATGTGCAAAGATTTGGAGTTAGAAAATAAAAAGGGAAGAGCATGCTCAGCATTTCTCAAGCTGAAAGAACTGAAGAAAAAAATGCAGGCCCCAAGTTGCAATACTGAAAGATTGTATGGGTAAAATGTTGAATGATGCAGGAAAGATCAAAGAAGATGAAAGGAATACACAGAGTCACAGTATCAAAAAGAATTGGTCAATGTTCCATTTGAGGAAGTAGCATATGATCAAGAGCTGATGGTATTGAAGGAAGAAGTCCAAGATGCTCTGAAGTCACAGGCATAAAACAAGGCTCAAGGAATGAACAGGATACCAGTTTAGATGTTTCACCAAATGGATGCAATGCTGGAAGTGCTCACTCATCTATGCCAAGAAATTTGGAATATAGCTACCTGGCCAAGAGATTGGAAAAGATCCATATTTGTGCCCATTCCAAAGAAAGTAAGCCAACACAAGGTGGAAATTATTGAACAATATCATTAACATAACATACAAGTAAAATTTTGTGAAGGTAATTCAAAAACAGTTGCGGCAATACGTCAATAAGGAACTGCTAGAAATTCAAGTCAGATTCACAAGAGGACATGGATTGAAAGATATCATTGTTGATGTCAGATGGATCTTTTTCGAAAACAAATACCAGAAAGATGTTTACCTGTGTTTTATTGGCTATGCAAAGGCATTCAACCCTATGGATCACAACAAATTTCAGGTAACATTTTGAAGAATGGGAATTCCAGAACACTTAATTGTGCTCATGAGCAAAGTATACACAGACCAAGAGACAGTCAAGGGGATACTCAACAGAACAAGGGGATACTCAGTGGTTGAAAACTAGGAAACGTATGTGTGTGTGTTAGAATTGTATCCTTTCACCATACTTACTCAACCTGTATGCTGAACAAAAATAATCTGAGAAACTGGATATAAAGAAAGCGGTATTAGCATTGGAGGAAGACTCATTAAGAACTTTCCATATGCAGATGACACAACTTTTTTTGCTGAAAGTGAAGACTTAAAGCACTTATGTATGAAGATCAAAAACTACAGCCTTTAGCATAGATTACACCTCAAAACCTCAACATAAAGAAAACTAAAATCCTCACATCTGGGCTAGTAAGCAACAGCATGATAAATGGAGAAAAGATTGAAGTTGTCAAGAATTTCATTTTACTTGGATCCACAACAATGGTCCATGGAAACAGCAGTCAAGAAATCAAATGACATATTGCATTGGACACATCGGCTGCAAAAGAGCTCTTTAAAGTGTGAAAAAGGAAAGATGTCACTTTGAGGACTAAGGTGAGCCTGACTCAAACCAAACCATGATTTTTTTTTCAATCACTTCATATACATGTGAAAGTTGGACAATGAAAAGGAAAACTGAAGAGGAACTGATGCTTCTGTATTATGGTGTTGGCAAAGAATATTGAATATACCACGGACTGCAAAAAGAACTAACAAAATCTGTCTTGGAAGAAGTACATCCAGAATGCTTCTTGGAAGTTAGGATAGCAAACCCTTGTCTCACATACTTTAGACATGTTACAAGGAGTGACCAGTGTCTGGAGAAGGACATCATGTTTGGTAAAGCAGAGAGTCAGTGAAAAAAAGAGAAAGCCCCTCAATGGGATGGATGGACACAGTACTTCAACAATGGGCTCAAACACAGTGACGTTTGTGAGGATGGCACAGGACCGGGCAGTGTTTCGTCTGTTGTACATAGTGCCTAAGGCCCTTGCCTGCTAACCAGAGGCTGGCGATTCAAACCCACCAGCCACTCCTCGGAAGGAAGACTGGGCAATCTACTTCCGTAGTGATACTGCCTCGGAAACCCAAGGAGGGGTGGCTATGAGTCAGGTCCGACTTGACGGCACATAACAACAACATAACAAGAGTCAACAGATCAGCTCTTGTTGTTGTTAGTTGCCATGATATAATTTATTGTTCCTATTGTTATTAGCTGCTATCAAGTCAAGCCCTGATTCATGGAGACCTCATGCACAACAGAACAAAATGCTGCCTGGTCCTCTACCAGTCTCATGATAGGTTGTGGATCAGACTGTTCTGATCCATAGGGTTTTCACTGCCTGATCTTTGGAAGTAGATCGCCAGGCCTTTGTTCCTAATCCATCGTAATTTGGACTAAGATTATGTTCAGGAAACCTGTTTAGCATCATAGCCGCACTCAAGCTTCCACTTATAGTGAGGGGGTGGCTGTGAATGAAGCGCATTGACCAGGAATCAAACCTGTATCTCCCGCCTAGAAGGCAAGAATTCTACCACTGAGCCACCACTGCCTCACGTTATATTTATTAACCATTTCATACTGAGAACGCCTTTCCACTGTTTTCACCGATCTACATGATAATGAAAATTGGAGTCACAATCATTTTTCCTCAAACTCCAGGGTGCTGCTCTGCTCTCTGCTAAAGTTGGTGCCGCAGGTGAGAAATCTGGGGCCAGCCTGACTTTGCTTCTTTGTTGGGAACTTAATGAACAGAATAAAGAACAGGAAGCAGAATGGCCAGTTAAGGAGCCTCAGCCTAGCAAGGCCAGTGAGACTCGGAGGGAAGCAGCAGGACTGCAGAAATTGGTAATAGAGACAGAATCCTGAAGACTGCCCTGTGAGCATGAGCCCAGGCTGACTTCTGGGATGTGGTAGAAGCCAAAGCTGCCTGTATAGGAAGAGGCAGTGATGTGACAATGCGCAGGAACCTGTGTGCAGTGGGAGCGAGGCCTCAGAGAGATGGCTGCTCCTACAGGAAAACTGTGCAACCATAGGGGCACTTCTGACCCCAATGCAGTCCATAGGGCAGTCACTTCTTCCTTCTTTGCTCTACCCAACCAGTGCCTGAAAGAGGACTGCTGGGGCATGTGGGGCTGACCTGTCCTTATGCTTTCTCTGAGCTGAAGGTTGGTTGATTGATGAGTGCAGCCAGGGCACCATTGAGAAGGGGGAGGGCAGTAAGCCCACTATTTCGTCCCAGTGTGCAGGGAGGAGAAGGGGCGCAACCCTGTGCTTCCTCTTTCACAGGATATTGCAGGCTGGGACTTCTCTCCCAAGCTCCTAAATGGGCCTGGGCCCTGGCAAGTCCTTTGTCTGAGATCCAGAACCAGCTGCCTATCACTCACAGCAATGCGAAAACACAGGAGGGAGCCCTCCTTGGCTTGGGAACACTCCAGAATAGCCCAGAACCACTCTGGGCATCAGAGTCTATCTCCAGGCAAGGAGTACTCCAGGGGAAAAGGTGTGACTGCAGGGCACCCAGAGCAACCAAGCATGAACAATGTGTTGTGCTGGTAGGGTACAGGTGAAGCCGGAGATTCTGCCGGGTGTGTGTGGGGAAAGGGGGACACCAGACTTAGATATTCTGGGCTGAGAGGGAGCAGCTAGGGGATATGGGGCAGGGCTGAGCAGGCAATGCTCCCTCCAGTGAACTGGTGTCCAGGCATGACCTGGAGGAGGGGGGAGGAGGTGGGTTTGAGAGGAGGTGGGTATGGGAGGAGCCCAGAAGGTTTGGGGGACAGGACTGTCCTTAGAGGACCTGTGGGGATCAGGGATCATGGGACCAGTGACCTGGGAGAAGCCCCCTGCTCCTTGGTCACTGGAGTTGGGCGCCAATTTCCCATGCCAAGCGCTATT